GCCGATAACTAGATCATCTAAAGTGAAATCAGTTTGTATTCAAAGACAATCCTCTTCAGTTTTGTGTCCATCTTCTTCTCCACTGGTGCAGCAACAGGGCTCCTCCTCATCTCCTCAAACCAGATCACCATCCTCTCCTGTCCTTTTATCATTACCAGCTTCTCCCTCTGGCTCCCCATCCAGCTCCTCCTCTATTCCTCACTCTCAGTTATCTTCGCATCAAAACTCACCCACTCCTTCCCTCTCCTGTCCTGTATCAGTATCATTTACTAAAGACCAAGTCACAAGATCAAGAGGACATATCCTTAAAAGATCATCACTCAATGGGTCTACTAGTGGTCCTTCTCATATTATAGGAAGTGGGTCCTCCCGTCAGTTTGGTAATACCAGTAAAGTATCAGGAGGTGGTCCTGTTAATAAAGATACTGGTACTGCTGGAGCCAGTGGGAGAGGAGGGAGGGCTAAGAGGAACAGTGACAGTTTTAATGGAGACTCACAGTCTTCAGATGAGAGGAGGCCAAAGAAGAGAAGAGGTGTTGTATCTGATGAGGTCAGACCTCCTAATATAGTAGACTGGTCTTGTGCCCTCTGTAATCTTGGTAATAATGCTAGTGAGCTCAGTTATCTGTATGGACCTTTAAACAATGTTAACAACAGAACTGAAGGTACAGTCTATGTGCATGTATCATGTATGCTTGCTATGCTATAGTGTAAATTTCTTATTTTGTTTTAAATGTGTACGTATTATGTATAGATGTATGGACTCATTGGAAGTGTGCAGTGTGGGCATCAGGTGTATATTTTGATGGTGATGAGCTAAAAGGATTATCTGAAGCTATTGAAGAAGGACAATCATTAGTAAGTCTCTCATTATTAGTATACAGTGTTGGTTTATCTCACTCTCTCTCTTTCTCAGGTTTGTTGTAAGTGTAATAAATCTGGTGCTACAATTATATGTCATCTTCACTCTTGCAAGAGACCTTATCATTATCCTTGTGCTCTACAAGAAGGGTAGTATCATTGTCAGTGATCCAATGGTTATAAATACTGGATATACATGTACACCTAGGCACTTGGCAGTTGGCATTAGTAAAATAGTGTAATAATATATCATATACATATTTGTTGATGGTTTACTAAAATGTTTTATTCTTTTATTTGTTAGGTTGTCATTTCAATCAGAGTCAGTT